AAGGTTTCAACATGCTTTTCTTGTGAAGAAGACCAAAACGACAGGCTAAAAAAAAAAAAACGAGCATGGAAACTCATAACCAGCTGATATCTGGGAAATTCCAAAGCTGACACACAGGTCTATCATTAGTTCACGTTCAGAATTTGTGGATGTGGCAACAGGTTCTGAATACGGGGTTGGCACAAGGCTTGTGCAAGATGCGCGGTGCACTGAAGAGAACCCTGGTGCTATCTGGGAAGTCTGAACACTCAGAATGGCTGACCAAGGATAGGTAGTGTGTTCATGGTGGGGGGAGGGGAGGAGACAGTCTTGAGCAAAGCAACAGAACAGGGAAGGGCGAGGTCAGAAGGCACCTGACGTGTCCTAGTCTTTTTTTTTGTGGCGACTCCGAAGCAAAACAGAAACCCGCACTGTTTGCGCTGCATGGTGAAGCTGGCTTTGGTTTAATTTGACAGGGTAAACAGGGAAACAGGGCCACCCATCCACTTGGGATTCAGGATTTTCATGAATGCAAGGAGGCAGGAAGACTCCAGTTCCGAAAATTCCCGGGGTTAAAGAAATGAGATGCAAATGGCTCAAAAGGAAAACAACAACAACAAAAAAAACACTGCTAAGCGCACAGGCGACATGAACCAAAACGTCCTATGAAGTCCAAAACGCAAAAGCAAATGAACTTGATGTGGATTCGCTTTCGTCAGTAAGTGAAAGCTACAACAGAGTCCCTGCTATCTTCCAGGTCATTTAAAGCTTTGTAACACTGAACGATGAGAACATAACACACAGACACACACCTATAACACTAAAATGAGGTAATGAAACATTAATTCATGAAAACAGGTAGATGTGACTTGGGGACTCGTTCCAAACATAAAAAGTGCAATTTATAAAGCTATTTCAATCCACATCAGTACAGGGAAACAACAACAAAAAAAAAAGGTTTTCATTTGGAAAGCACACAAATTTAAGAACTAAAGATGGTGTTACTTTTAAAGAGGCTTTGGCTTTCTGAGGGAAAGGCTTGTCGAGATCGCCTTCATTTTTGTTTGTCTTTTGTTTTCATCACAACGCGTCTTGGGCAGCTCTGCTGTGGCAACACCCCTGCTTCTGGTTTAGAAATCGCATACAGCAACCTATGTTCGGAGTCAGCATCTCGTTGCCTCACAGTTCCGACTCAGATGACGGAACTCTGGCAGTGACAACTTAATCACAGGATTTGTCTTGGTGCCGATTGTAAGAGCACAATTTGTTTTACAGAAATCGACAACAGAGAGACGCCAAACGTAGGTTGTGTAGTTTTAGGCTATAGTAAAATACATCAATACCATACAAAGAACGTCATTTATCTTCTTTGAGAAAAAAAAAAAGATACAAAAAGGTGCATTCCTTGTACTAACTTCACAGGTTATGGTTTATGGCTATGTTTTGAGTAACAGTTTATTTTAGCTTGAAATCCTGTAAAAAAAAAAAGTTACAAAATAAAAAGAAACTGACCCTGCGAACACCTTATTTCACACACTGAGTGAATCGCTAGCAAAAGTGAATACAGGATCTGAGAAATAAATACATTCATTACTGACAATAATAGACATTTGATAAAAAAAACACTGTCAACAAAGTGTTTGCACCATCTTGGTTTGAAGTGAGGCCAGCCAGGACACCGCTGCTTTTCCTAGGAATAACCCCCCCAGAACATCACAGAACACAGTGAGCGCAACCTACCAGACAAGAGGAGAAAATCACTTCTAGTTTAAAACCAAAAGCTATCAATACGAATTCCCATCTGATACATATTCACATAAGATGTTACAAAAGATCAACTACCACTGAATTACCCCTCCCCCCCACCCCAAAAACTATTCCTAAATAGATTAATTTTAGGTATCATTTTACCCTTTAAATAAAGCATCTGGATACAACTGTAAACATTTAGACACCCATACGTATGTACTACATATGAAAGTCAAACAGGCGTTTGGGTGGCCATAGAAAAAGACGTGACCCTTTCTTTAAAAAAAGACGCAGCTCTCTGCCAGATCCTCGGCCTTCAATTAGATCACTTGAGCCAGGAAATGCTGAACGACAATAGAGCAGGCATCTACAAAGACGCCACAGCCAGCTGGAAAGGGGTCCTTAGAGAGATCCCACTCCCATTTCAAATAGGATCCAACCTTTCTCAGGGTCACAAAAGCATGATAATAATGTCTTCACTTTGGCAGCAAAGCCGCAGAAAAGCAACAACTCTGGCTGGTCTCACTCCTGCTGAGGTCTGAAACTGTAGAAGTTTATGTAAACAATGAGATAAATACATAAGTATCTTTTTTTTAGAGCCACACGAGGTTCCATAATTATTCAAATGTGCTTTGGTTTAAAAAATAGTTTGTGGATTTGGGTATGAGCTTTTTTTAATTCTTTATACAACTTTGCTACTATTTTCTGAAAACATTCTGGAACTAACGACTAAAGTATAACTTTTTTTCTTATTTTTGAGCTGCCCCACCTCTTGTTGAGGTTTTTTTTTGTGTTAATTGAAAAAAAGTACCCCCCTCTTAAAATCTTAAATATGAAACTAGTGTTTTGCTTTTTCATCATTAAAATACAGAAATTGATACAATACTATGTCTTACAAATGTAGCTGATGGCTCCATGCACAGAAGAATGGAACCTTCCCTGAAGTTTTGAGTAGTACTATTACTGTCACAGTTTGGAGTTTTTTTTTTCTTTCAAAAGTTCACCCTACTGCACACGTCTACTTGTTTACTCAGAAAAAGAGAGATCATGCCGCACAATAAACCCCTTGCTTAACACAGACATTATGCTGTACTGATTAAGTGCTGACAAGTACAATGGTTAACAGCTATACATCATGGATTCCTCAATGACTCTACTGAAAAAAAAAATCCTGCTAAGTAAAAAACTCTTAACATAAAACACAAAACACAACAAAGACAGCACCCATCTTGTGTCCTTAAATATTGGGAAAAAAAACACAAACGATGTCTTCCATTTAAAGCTAGATTCAGCAGAAACCGAGAAGGATAGGGAAAAATGTAGTCTTAAAATGGCTGTTCACACAGCGAAGTTTGAAGCAGATATAGCTGGTGTTTTTTAGGCCCCAAGACTATGAGGTGCCACATGAGTTTTTCATTAACCTTCTCCTGTGTAAGGACACATCTGGCCCAAAACTACAAGAGTAAGGAAATTCAAAGAAATAAAGAGGTCTGAATTGCACCAAATCCAGTGTGGTCTTTGAATGCAACTAAATCTTGTACTAAAAGCAGCAATGTCAAATACATATATATCTTATTGAAAAACAAACTAAAATAGTATCTTCTGACAAAAAAAAAGACTTCAACATGCTTTGAACTTTTGAAAAGACGGTTTGGTACATAAGGAATCCAAGATGCAGATGCCTCAAACTGCACTTGTTAGTTCAGAATCTGACCATAGCTGCATCCCAACACTGACTTTACACACGCAGAAAAAAGGACGAGGACTTCTGGAGAAAGACAAAAATAAGGAAGGAATGCCTACACCAAGACTTGCACTGAAGGTCCCTTCACCTCACGTGATTTAAGACAAACTGGACGATGTCTTTACCTTCCATCCAACAACAAAAATGTCTGGTCAATGACTGGGCACAAGGTTTTATTATTCTTTGCTAACAGCCACCCTTGCCCAGTAAATTGAAGTAATTTGCCTACAAGAGGGACAAGTGTTTACTATCATCATTGCTAATATGTTCATATAAACTGAGAGAGACTAGCTCCAGTGTTGTAATGAGGCAAGTGAACTCAGTGGTACAGCCACTGGCAGAGGTTGCAGATCCAGTTCAAAAGGTATAAACCCAGAAACGAGAGAACACTTGTCTTTTTTTCCCCCCAAAACTGATGTCCAGTTATCCTACACCTATCTCTTTCAGGGCTTCACAAGTCTAACCCAAACTAACAAGCAAATGTAAAACTTCACATCTTTAAATTCAATTACATTTTTTTTGGTCTGAACTGAAAAAATCAAATAAAATTCTGATAAAGACATGTCAATAAATTCATGACAAGGACCCCTGTTAACAAAGCAACAACGGTTCGAGGGAAGATTGTAAACTCTTGAGTATTTGAAAGTTTACAGTTTTCACCAGCCCACCTAACAACAGAAGGTTTTACTTACAAATCAAAACAAAAGACTTTCATTGGTCATAAATACAGTGGTTAGCTAGACTCCCACCAGGCCTCACTGTAGAGTTCTTTGATTAGAAGTAGTATCGAGTCCATACAGGAAAACAAAACAGCTAAATAACTCCGCTACATCGAGCATTTATGCACAGTTTAACTTTGGTTATGAACTTCTCTAGTAAGTTTGTTGTTAGTCAGTCCTCTTCTCCTTGGAAATTGGTTCTTTGGAAAATACTTCCACACACCTAGTCCAGTGTTACCTATTTGTTTCAGAAAAGGTAATTACAGTACTTTTTGAGAAGGGCGCCCTGACCCAAAAGCTATATTTTCCTTGAAAAAAAAGCCTATCTAACAATGAAAACCTGTGGTGAAAGATGGGCGGGATAAAGCATTATGTTAAGTTCACTGTACTCTACAAACTTTGTACATTTAATTACATTAAGGAACCCCTAGTCTTCCACTAACCAAAGTATTGTTCATAAGTATAATAAAGAGGTAGCAAGGTTACAAGCCTGTTTCAAAGGACTTGTCTGTTTTTGTTTTTTTAGTGAGGGGAGGAAAGCGATGCATACACGAAAAATGCAGAACAAAAAAAAAAACTGTACCTACAGAACTTGCAGCAAGTCCAACCTACACCAAATAAAGCACCCCCCCACCCTAACCCCCCCTCCCCCCACAAGTAATATCCCAAGACCTTCCAGTTTAAACATTCACATAAACATTACAACAAGTTTTCTTTTACTAAAACAAGTACCTCTAGGCTCTCTTTTTTCTTTACTTTAAGGAAATACCCCCTGGCAACTACGAAAAGAAACTAAGGACCCCTCTCACTCTCAGAACTCCTGTAGAAGGAGAAGTCAGCAGCTTCTAACCATGGGCAAGGTGAATGGTATCGTTCCTGGGACACAGAAATAACCATCAGGCCAGAGCAGGGAGTCGGGACAGTACTTCTCTTCAACGCCCCTGAGGGAAAGAGAAGGCAGACCAGGCCACAGCGGACCAATACGAACCTTTCTTCTCGGACAGCCAACAGATTCGCTCACCTGTCTGTTCGAACTGCCAGGTGGGAATCTCTGAAAAAACATCATGGGGTTTTAGCTTAAATCAATCGGAAATTTCTATCATGGAATCGACATGCATGCAGCTGTCCCTTCTCGCCGTGCTGTCCTCTCTCTACCACCCCTCCTGAAAGGCCACGAGAATGGCCAATTTCAAGCCCTGTCCAAGACTCTACGGCAGTGAGGAAGGGCGATATGCATGCACAAACGAATCAAGGTACCGGAATTAAGTGGAATCTGAAGAATTATCTTCAAAACTGCAGTATGTCACATCTACCAAAAATCTGGGCAAATGAGATAAACCTTGCTTGATCTCCATTTTGCTGCCGAAAAAAGAAAGCAGCAGAATGAAGAACAAGCTAGCTTTCTTTCAGATGTTGGGGATCCGACAGACGTCTGCCCACAGTGGTCATGATGCAATTTCAGTAACCCAGTCACTTTCACAGCAAGTATTAAATTAGAAGAGATGCTCCATTGCACCCATGGTTATTTCTGAAGCAAGACAACCCCTTTAAGAACTCTTTCAAAAGCTTCTCGTCTTGTTCTGTTGGTTTGTTTCATCTTCCTGCTGCAGAAAGCAGAGAAAGCACATTCTCTGGACACCTGCATACACCCTAAATGGGCGTATGGACGCGTTTATTAACTTAACTTTTTGTTATTAGCAAACGAAAGTCTTTGGCTTATGTTGGGGAGGTATGCATTCGCAGGTGGCTGATCAGGTTGCGCTGCTGGGTGAACTTGCCGCCGCAAAGCTGACATTCGTACGGTTTTTCGCCTGAGTGGACTCGCATGTGCTCAGTCAGTCTGTACTGCCGCGTGAAGCGCATCCCGCACTCCTCGCAGGCGAAGGGCTTCAGGCCCAGGTGGCTGCGCATGTGACGCGTCATGGTGCCCCGCTGGGTGAACATCTTGCCGCAGATGTTGCAGGGGAAGGGGCGGGTCAGCCAGTGGGTTTTCTCGTGCTGCCGCAAGGTGGCGGGATCCTTGTAGCTCTTCTCGCACACGGAGCACTTGAAGGGCCGGGACTCGGTGCCGAACGCCGAATTTTGGGTGGACAGGTCCTCCGCCTCCTCCTTCACGTAGGAATCCTCCTCCTTTATGTAGAGCTCCTCCTCCGTGTGCGTCTCCACGTGGGCGTTCAGCTGCTCCGAGCTGGGGAAGCCCTTCCCGCAGGGGATGCACACGTACAGGTTGTCCCCATAGGCCACCGGCTCGAAGCCCTCCTGCCGGTACACGTAGTTGGCGCTCGTGTGGCCGCTCTCGTTCTCGCTGTGCCCGCTCTCGTCGCTGTTCTCCTTGCCGTTCTCCGCGTCCTCCTCCTTGCACTGGAAGGAGTGCTCCGAGCTGTAGCCCGCGCTGCTGCTGCTGCCCCCGCTGCCCCCGCTGCTCGACTTGGGCCCCACGATGACCCCGTTGGGCACGGGCCGCTCCTCGTCCCCCGCGCCCTTGCCGTCGAAGGCGGCCTCCTTCTTGGGCCACTCTTTCTTGCGGGCCACGTGGCGCGAGCTCTTGCGCGGCTGTCCCGTGTCCGGGAGGGGCTTCGTCTCCTCGCCGGCCCCTCCCCCCAGGTCCATGGGCTCCCCGCTGTCCAGGCTTTGGGGGTTCGTGGTGGAGTCTTCAAAAGAGGCACTGTTGGCTGTGGACACTGAGGCAGATTGGGGGGATTCCTGTTGGTGGTTGTTTGGGCTGACCTCATCCGGGGCAGGACACACCGAAGGGCTCTTTTTGGAGAGGTCCAGCCCCAGCTCCTGATCGCCGACGCTGCTGATGTTGCCGTTGCTCCCGCTGTTACCCACCGCCCTCTTCAAGGCCTTGGCGCTCTCGCGGGTGGAACTGCCGACGTAGACCTCATCATCCGACAGCTTGTCCTTCATCAGGTCACCGTGCTGCTTCTTCCCACCGTCCCTCGACCCCGAGTAGCGGTTCTGAATGACCGGCGTGGAGGACAGCCGCTGGTTGCGGAGCGGTCTCCCCGCGCTGGGGGTCACGGGCTTGCTGGGAAGAGGTTTGCCGTTGCGCTTCAGTTTTTTCCTACAGAGGGCGGCCAGGTCGTGGAGTTGGAGGTAGCTTGCTGCCGTCAGGAGGGCGTTGAAGTTCTGGTCGCTGGTCTGATCCGTAGATAAAAGCTTGCCGGTGTAAATGAAGTCCAAAATCTGTCGAAACACGGACGGGTTGACCATGTCTGTGTCCAGGTTGATTAAGTTGTCGTGAAGGACCAGGGATTTAAAGTATATGCTGCTGGCCGCCAAAATGTTTTTGTGTGCCCGAAAGAGGGCATTTTCTACCACTATGATAACGTCACAGAGAAAACCTTTGGCTCTTTGTTGGTTCAGCTGCAGCAGCAATTGTTTGGCATGATTTGGCAGTTCCATTTCCACCCTCTCTTCACACCCCTGTGCTACCTGGAGGACAGAAAAACAGAAGAAAATCAGATCGCGATATAACCTTTCATGAGCAGCAGTGACGATATAAATGACCCTGCCAGACTGGAAAGAGCTCTTGATGTACAACCAGTATTGTGCACCTCTACCTTCACAAAGTGGACTGACATAACAACATACGGAAAGCATGCCTCTCTCCTCTTGTCATGACTTTGTCTTAACCTCCCTGCTGGCTAACAATAGGAGGTAGACAGAATCCGGTTTAATTCCTAGCTGTGCCAAAAAAAAAAGTTTAAATGAATCGTTCAGTGAGGGAAGACACAAGGGCTGAAGTTCCACAATGAAAGCGCCCAGATTTACAACCACTCCACCACCCCACCCCTCCATCTCAAGGGCCATGTTGTCACGCTGACCCAATCGAGACAGCCTCCTCTAAATAACAAAGGCATCTCCTCTCCACAATACGAGACCTGCTGCCAAACAAAGTGTATTAAGAAACGTGCCCCTGCACAACTGAAAACTAACGGGGAAAAACTCAAGAATCACCGTTAAGCACCTCTACACAGTAGCCTCTCTTCCTTGATTCATAAATGTATGGTGGCAGCAGACATCAGAAGTTAAACATTTACAGAAATATTGAAACATCTGAGTGCTCAATCAATAAGGCCAGAGAGGACGCTGGAATCAAATTAGCTACTTGATCTCTGTGCTCCACAGAACATGGCACTCAAGATTAATTAGGATATTACAGTACTGAAGGAATTAAAGCTATTCACTAGTGTGCCAGGCTGAGAGGGAGGGCACCGTAGTATAGTATAGAGTTTCAAGAAAGGAACAGATGGAACAGAATTTAAAAAACCTGAAACTTCACAATAAATGGGTAGAGACAAAAAACAACAGAGATGGACTGGTTGGGAAAAGATAAAAAGAGTCAGAAAAATCTGGATAAATCCTGAAGAATAATTATGTTTATAGCTGAGGCATCTATTGTACATTCTTACAAATTACACAGCTTCATAGTCCCACAGCTTAGTTACTACTTTCTATGCTTAAAGTGAGACAAATTCCACTTTCTGTGGGTTCATTTCAAACGTGTGAATGATATCGGGATCGCTTTCCAAGTGTAGCCACTATACCCTCTTGATGTTGAAGAAAAGACTTTACTCGTGTTTGACTTCACTCATGTTTTCCAGGCTGCTAGTATTGTTCTTTTCTACAACATGCGTTCGGAATGCTGCTTGTGCTATCCATTAGCCGGAAGAAACAGCAGCCCGAGAACTTGCCCATTGTTTGCGTATGGGGGTGGGCACAGCTCACAGGCGGTGTTCAGGATTAGGTGTAACCTGATCAGGTAAACCCGTTACAAAAGACACAGCTGGGTGTGGCAGAGAGCACTGATCCTGTGACAAGTGCCCCAGCAGGCCTCAGCTTGTTGCTTGCTTCCCCACTGCCATACAGCCGTACAGAGATCCTGAGAACTGAGGGGCCTTTAGGAATTCTTGGGAAAACCGAATTCTTGGGAAAAGTGACTCGACAAGGGCAGCACCATCTTCTCTTTTCTACTTTCTCCAGTCAGCACAGAGCTGACTTCTGTCCCGGGTTAAATTCTGGCCTGGCGCACCTTGTGTGTGGAGTTTGCATGTACTTCCCTCCTGTCCATGTGGGGTATCTCCAGGTGCTCTGGTTTCTTCCCACCTCCTCAAGACATGCGGGCTGGGTTGACTGGTGTCTTTTAATAGCCCCAGTATGTAAACGGCCCTGATTTTCACCGATGTCCTGCCCAGTGAGCAATCCTACACTGCTTTACAATATCTACATGTGCTATAGTATGCAGACAGCGAAACAGATCACAGACCCATTAAAACATCTCCCAGATTTACTGACCTTTTACCAAAATGTTCACGTAACAGAAAAAAGCTTCTGAAAATGAATCAATCTCATTTAACAAAACTTCATAGGCAGCACAAGAAAGCCATCTGTAAATCTATGTAGTTGTGATCAAGTCTATTAACAGTGGTTTGACTTCAAACTACAGAAGCAACAGGCCCACCTCTATATTCTATAGAGGTCTATAACTTCAAACTTCAAAACTTCAAATACTTCAAACTTCGGCTATTCGGGTGGGTTTAAGTTCCCCTCGAAGCCATATTAAAGGAAGCAGATAAACACACCCCTTTAGCTTGCAAAAGAGCAAAGCTACAGCAGTGAGGACAGCACCTGGGATCACAACCTGACCACAGCAGCAACAGACGCCGGACGTGGTCAGCTTAAGCTGCAGTAACACAGCCACCTTCCCCCCCAAAAAAAATATATTCGAACATTCAACAAGGGGAGCCTAGCACGCGACGAGCAAAGTCACTTCTGCAGACAAACCTACAAAATAAAAACAAAAAACATTTTCGGAGGACCGAGTCAGGAGAAGCAGAGCTGCCTCCCTTCCCTACATCATTTTTTTTATTGTCTGCCTTCTCTCAGTGAATTGGCCCCCACGATCATTCGCTTAGTACAGGCATGACCCCAGCATCCCCTGAGCTCAAGCCCATCCTTGTGTGACAATCAGGGCAAGTGCATCACAGCCCAGCTACCAGCTGGGACCCTACCCAATGCACAGCACAGTCAGCCAGGGGAACAGGCAGTTAATCAGCAGCAAAGCAGGGGACGTGTGGCGTGCCTTGGATGGGCACAGATACGTCTTTATCTCAGATTTTGTTTTTGAGGACAGTATTAGAAAGTTATGGCTCGTTTTCAAAAGATTCTTATCAAATAGAGAAAACAGGGGTATGTGTATGTGCTTGTATGTGTGTGTAGGCGGGAAACTGTAAAACAAGCTCTCCTTATCTCTCTGAATACAATCACAAAACATCACAGCAAATTTTAAGCTGCCAGGCTACATGTTTCATTCTGGGAAACCGGCAGTGCATCTCCACATCATTTCAGTGACACACTGAACCTTCATTGTGCAATCCGAGAACTGTTCTTTATACAGCCGTCTCCATTAACACAGGGAAGGACTCCATAAAGGAAAAAAAAGGGGAAATGAACAAATCGAATCCCGATCCATTGTCCCACGGAGACGGTGACCAGCAATCACAGCCGCGGTTATGAAACGTGAAAGGTCTGGAAAGCCGAGCGGTCCCGTCAGGCAACACGGATCGCATCCCTTCACATGCCTGGCCTCTGGCAGCCTTTCAAAGGAAACGGCGCGTCTCAGTATCTGCCTGCTCCTGCCATCCCACACGACACCGAGCCGGAGTGCGGCTCTGCAGGAAGACTGATAGCAATCGGTGCATTGTCTGAGCAGCAGGCTTCAAACAGACCTGCTACTCTGCAAACAGTGTCTTCTTTCGACTCCAGTTGGCCTTATCACCGCCGTTGAAACAAGAGGAACAGGTCTTGGGAGATGGCCAACAGTTGTGAAAAAGGAGAATTCAGGGAGCAGTCCCCGGTTTTGTTTTTTTAAGGAAACGGGCCTATTTAAAACTGACACACACACACCCTCCGAACGTCGGGCTTGGCCTGTCAGCTGCCACGCTCCCTCACGGTTAGGAACAAGCACTCCGCCGAGTCCAGCTGGAAATCAAAATCCCCTGGACGACACCGTGATACGCTCGCCGCCGAAATACCCCCCTTCCCCCCCCAGAGAGGCGAGCAGGTGAAGGGTTAACATCGTTGTGATAGCTCCTGCCTTTACCTGGGGCCTCTTCACACCTGATTCAATTTACAGGAACAGCAAGTGAGCGAGTCCGCACACCCACAAGGGGACTCGGTAGCTGCGAGCTTGTGGAATTAATCACTCTGGCACCGTGCCACCGGGTCAGAGGGCTGAACACGGGTCGGAGAGCGGATAAAAAAAACCCAAAACATTGCTGCATCTCGGAGACACTGCTGTTGCGCAGTAGGTTTGTGGGCACTCATTTCTGTATTCGTCGTTACTCGTTCGTTTGGAAGGAGGAAAAAAAAACAGAATTAAGCACTTACAGCAAAGGCTTTCGAGCAGGGGTGTGCGTTTGTCCCAAAGGCGCTCCTAACTGTCACACGGGGTACGCAGAACCAATCAGTAATGCAAAAATAATCCAATTTCTGTGAAATTACTTTTTAATTGTATTGTATAGTCTATTATCTCTACATCACTGCACATTTATATTTAAATTAAACAGTAATTTAATTTACTGTATATTCAGCAGCTCATAGTTTCATTCTCGCTGTGTACTTTTAAAATCAGTATTCCGGGGGTGTGCACAGCTGAATTTTCCACCCAGGCAAACTGACATATTTAAGTCACTTGAATAGAGAAAGCAGGTGTTTTTTTTTTTTTTTTAAGCGAAACTGGATAAACTCGTGACAAACAAAAAAGGACTAAGAAAAGAAAATTCAAAGTGACAGAGTTAGTGAGGTACAGTGGAGTCTACTCGCATTCTGGATTCAAAGAGGTGGGTCAGGAAGATGAACGTTTATGCAAATGTGTTTCTAATTGAACAAACCTTCTAATTACGATAGGGAACCATTGTTATTATAAAGAGACGTATCTGAGCAACACTGAAATGTAGAACGCTTCCCAGATGACTACAAGTGGTCTATAAAGTCGTACATGTGATTATCACTCTAAATTGCAAAATCCAAGAAAGGGCAAAAGAAGGTCAAATCTTTCTTCCTCCTGCACCCAACATGTGCAACTCAACTTCTGATAGCAGTTAGAGTTGGAAAGATTTCAATTTCACAATCCAAAGCTTGTGGAAAAATATCCCCAAAAAAAGAGGAACAATATGGAAACTTTCTGCTGCGCCTAACGTCAGTTTCACCCCAGGACAACGAATCCACAGATGAGCTAAACAGCTCTCGGCTGTTTGGATTTCTCCTACATTTAGAAAAAGTAAACCACTGTTTGTGAAAGTTTGGGGCAGGAAAACCCAACTCCAGGCCTCAAGAGCCACTGAATATGTTTTATAGTTTTCTTTGAACCTCCAATGTCTCAAGAATAATGTGAGACTTCAGTTTCTCCAATAAAGCAAAAATTTTAATTA